ATGACCGTATTCACGTATAATTAGTATTTTCTTAGCGTATTTGTCATGCAATTATCGCGTTTTCCCCGTTTATCCTTATCTTTGCCTTTTAGGAAAAAGAGTATCCTCCGTTTGCTTTCCTCACCTGTTTGAGATCTCACGCTCGCTCGCTTGTTGAAGATTAAGCCGCGTTTTTTGCTTTGAGCGCTCAAACGTGAAAAAAGTCGACGAAATGTTATCAAAAGCATGAATACAAGTAGATTATCTACCGTCCGTTTAATTCATTGATTCTGCACATCCTTCTAGAGAACATAATGTATCTATTTAATAGCAAAATAAACACAACATCATAATTATTGCATTGTCTCTAAAGAAACAATCAATCTTACAGTGGATTTTTATATACAAATATTAACCCTCCAGCATCACTTCGAAATTTTCGATCATAGTTTACATTCTGGACCGTTGAGGGAAACAAGATATATTTTTTTATGGTTCCGGACTACATAAAAATCTGAAAAATGTTTTATATACTTGTGTAACTTTTAATAAGTTTTAACTATAATAAAAACTGGACTGTATTTTATTTATTTTTTATATATTGAAATCTGAATAAGAATTTTGAAAAAACGTGATATTGATTGTGCTTTAAAAGACACAGAGTGGTGCTGGAAGGCTTAATAAATAGAATGAATTCGGCGAAGTACAAACAGTTGTGCACTTTCGTGTTTGCAAAAAATTATAGAAGTTATTTAGCGAATATCTCTTTTGTTAAGACTTAATAACGTTTTCAATTATACACACGAAAAAAAGAGTTTTTCTATAAATTTTTAGAGTTACATTACTGCTTTAAGATGCCCGGTTGTAGATCGTAATCTAGGTAGTATCCGTAGAGCGGAAAATCTGACCTCGACCTGCGTCAAAGCCACGGTGCGGTGATCGAATTTAATCTGACGATAGCCTAGTTTCTCCTCGTGTTTCCTACGCGTTTACTTTTCCTCCTCGTTTCTCGACCAAAGGTTCACTATTGAGCCTCTCGCGGGAGGTCCACACTTTCCATCGGCGATCTCTCGTTGAGAGAAGAGACGACGCCGCACATCGATTACGTTTCTCAATTCGTCCACGGGGAATCGCCGTTCACGCTTAAGCTATCGCGCGAAATGGGATCGAATTAGCCACGGAAGCTCCGTAGATTGGAAGAGGAGAATTCCTGTTTTTTTTTCTAGAAAAACGGATCGCGAAGTTCCACCTGGATCTAAAATTCGCTAGGCATCTCGACATCGTGCTGCTGTCTCTTCCTCAGTTCTAATCGACGACGTTCTTGCGGTCTAGAAAAAGGAGCAATCGTCTTCACAGCGTGTCTTAAAATCACCGGCTGGTATTTCAACGACGAATTCTTTGAGCAATACGGGGGCGATTTTAGCTTGTTAGTAAAAATGACAAGACTTTTAATCTTTTGAAAAGGTTGTAAAAGTGCAAATTGATAATGAGACCTTTTCTATCTTATTTAAGCGCGAATAAGGATTAGAATTAAATTCAAATGCGATTTAGATTAAAATAATTTTATTTTGTGATATAATAATTCGTGATACTTATATAATTAGATATATAAATATGATGCGTATAGCAGTATTACGAAATTGTGAAAAAGGTGTCATCATGACTTATATTTTCGCTAAGGGAAAATTGACAAAAATTAATCACAGAAAGCATAATGACAAAAATTCAGAAAACTTGAAGATATATTATATACATATATATACTTCACATAAAAGTGAATTTATCTCTACAAAGAAGTAGAGAAACATCTCAATATTAAATCTTGTTCTCGTCTGTATTTGCTCGACTTCTGAGGGAGAATAAGTCTTACATTAAGATTACATTTAAAAATAAGTGACGCGCCAGGCTTTGCAAATTTAGTAAATTTCATTTTTTATCAAAGTTTTTTATATAAATGAAAATTTGCAGAATTAAAGATAATAAAAATCTGCAAATTTAAAGATAATAACTGCAAGAAATATTTATTGAATTTTACATATTACTATAATTTTCAAATTGAATTCAACTTATTTCGGTAATTTTTCATTGGCAAAATGGTGTAATTTAATATCTTTCTTTATATTTATATTTAAATTTTTATTTAATTTCCATTCGATGAAATTTTTATGTCATCTTTTCGTGATTTAATTTTTATCGGTGATCTTTTAATAAAATTGAAATAGTCTAGATACTATATTTAATTTTGATATTATATTTTAGACATAGAATAATTATACAATCACATTTCATGTTTAAATTCGTATAAAGGAAGAGAATGTTCCAAATATATGTATTGAAAAATTTTTTCACCGTCATGTAGTATAATATCTTTACTTATACATTTTTCACTTCGTGTTTAATTTCATATTCTTATTTTTTATTTGAATTAAATTTTATCGAAATATGTTTTAAATCTTCGTAATAAAAATCGATATTTTCAGTTTGTAATTTCAAGTTGAAAGTTACAAGTTCTTCTAAAAAAAAATAATTTAAAAAGTGATACGCTTAAATAATAAATTAGCTTCTTGTAACGTCATGTTTTTATTTATGTGTAAATTACTTCCTTTTGCGCACGGCAGCTAAATTGCCCCGCGATATAAAACCTCTCTGCCGATTGTCCCTTTTATCGATCGGATAGGGTATCGATTACCATGAAGGGTGAAGTTACGGATCGACCGCGCGCCAACAACGAAAGGGATCCAAACAATTACTTGTAGGAAGTAACACACGGCCGTAAATTTCTCCGACTTCGCGATAGTACTTTAGTCGATTTATCTTTCCTCTAGCGATAGTCCGGAATATCGTCTATGATTGACGATTGGAATTCCTGGAATCTACCCACGTTCTACCCGGGAAAACTCGCTTCGAGCCAAGAGACTTGATTCTCGGAGGTCGTGATTTTCCGGAGCGTCTTCCACTCAACTTTCTCTGCCGTCTCTCAATTTACAACGTCTTTACAAAATTGTACCGGAAGTGAGGTATACGCATATTGAGCGACAGTTCCAGTACATACTGCTTTTTCCAGACAAATTCCAATCTTTCTCTTATTATCGTTACTCGAGTCTGTGCACATTTTATCGTAGAGAGAGAAGAAAATAAAGTAAAATGTAAATAGTTGAACTTTGCACTCAAATGTTTAAATTTTGGAATTTAAACATTTTACATAAATTGTCAATATATTAAGAGATTAATGTATTTGCTTGGAGTAGAGGTTTCTGTTAAGGAACTTAATTATTTAATAATATTATTTGACTGTCTATACTTACATCCGATTAATCTATAATATTATTTACACAAGATTTGCACATGTTTTATGCTGAAATTATGCAAAGTTACGTCACACATTAGCAACAATGATAAAGCAAATAGAAGGAATTTCTTGTTCGTTGTTGTGATGGTAAACTTCGATTTCTAGAATTTTCCACGGAAATCTGTCGTTTCGTTCCGGAAGTTGAACTGCTCGGATGGAATTTGCACGGCGCGAAGTGAAACGAAACGAAGTTATGGCTCGGCTCGTCCCCGAATCCTAAATACCCGGCAATTCTTTCTAATTCCGTCCGAAAAGTTACTATACCATCTCGCCGCGCGTCTTCTCTAACTCGGGCAAAATCGCAAAAATTTCATAAGAAATAATGAAAGCACGACGACACAGAGAACGAAGGCTTCTACAAATATAATTAACCCCGACGGTGACTTTTATATGCACTGTGGGAACGAGTCTCCTGCCGCCATGATTCGCCCTCGTATTTTCGCAGATTTAAAAGGTAACTGCGGGGTTGTATCTCCATACATTCAAAGCGAATTCGTCTCTGTAGAAACTATTAATAATAAGTTTAGCAATCTTCATACCAGCGTTATTAAAATACGGCAAATTGCCATGGAAAAATACTATTAACGTAAGTATTTTGAATTGTCCATGATTTCTCTCTTATACGAGTTATGACAAAAACTGTCATATTTTATTTACGATATAATGAATTAAATTATTATTAAGAATTACAAATATTAAAAAGAAAATTTTTAATGTTTTACAAAAATTGTAAAATCGTATAAAACGGATAATAAGCTAAATGAGGATCAAGTTTTAAACAGAAATGTGAAAGTATAATTGTTGGTATAATTATTATTATACAGTATGCGTCAAAAAAATGTGACTCTCTTTTAATCACTATTATGTTTGCTGAGTGTGACACAGTAACGCAGTGATTGCAATTAAAGGAAATCATATCGAATAAATATTTGGTAGAAGGACAAAATATTTGTGTTATAATCAAATTTGTCCTCGTCCACTCACTTTATTTAACTAAACCGACAACTGAAGTGTTAGTCGTGCACAGAGAGAAAAATGTTTGGTATTTGTAACTATAATTATATATTACTATAATTATGATTATTACTGCTATAATAATAATAACAGTAACTATATATATGGGACAACCATAAAAAATATGGTTGTCCCAAAATATAACTATAAAATTATAGTCACTTGAATCATTTTTATGGTAATTTCAACTATTTTATGGT